CCCTTTAGAGTGATGTGCTAGTTCGGCCATCGATTTCGAGATTCACCATGTACTCAGAAGATGGGGCGGTTACTGGAGACACGGACGAGATTTAAGTGAAATAGATGTGCACCTGTCAACCTTACTCTAAGCCCTCTCCCCGATTGAACCGGTGACAAGACCAAATTTAAGATGATGGAGCAGAAGTCGGGCGTAGACCGCTTTCACAAATGCAGGCCAGAACACCGTCTACTCAGTTTTATTTGGCAGTAGCCATTTGCGCCGGTACAATCGAACTATTTACTCTCACTCACCCTCAGTGGATGTCAAACCAGGCTAAATGAAACCAAGGCTGCTACTGCTACTACTGCTATTTATAATACTACTGACTAGAAGTATTGCTGCCACTATATCTGGTTGTATTATTAGTCAGAAGTAACGCTGATTAAAGTCAACGCTGAAACTCATACCCACGTGATCTCAAATAGGGGTATGAATTTGGGTTTAATCAATTCTGTGTAAGTACATGCTTGGGGCCCTGAGCACAGCAGAACTTACCTCGGCTTTCACACTCTCAGCTCTATCCAGCAGACTATTGTCGTTTCTACTAGGCTCAGATTACGATAATGCTGCTAGAAGTGCGTGCTAAAGTGCTAATTCTAATAATCACACTTGCTAAAGAAAGTTAAAAGTATACTATAGTATGGCCTGTGTGTGCTTTTTTAGAAGTCGACACTCTGTATGCAGTCCCAATTTGTATGACGTAAAGCGATTCGCTCGTGGGTTAAATAAAACGTTATTAAATCATACCACAAGTCCTACCATGCCATTATTTCGTAGCATTTGCCATCTATAGAATACCTATCAGCCGACTACAGTAGCGACACAGCGGCAGTGTTACCACGGCACGGAGGGCCAAGGTCTGGCACACCGATTGCCTTATAAATTGCCGCGAGTCCCATTGAAGGCACCGTAACATGGCTGGCGTGAGTCGCCATTAAAGAGTTTTGCTTGTCACCACTGCCTTGTGGTTACGTTATTGAGCCATAGTGATGGATGAGGCAACACCGAACCAAGAATCCGAACGACTGTTTGGACCCGTTTGTACTTAACATCCCCAAGAAACCTCATCTTTTGTTTAATTACGCTACTAAGATCTATGTTACGGCGGCCGCGGGAACTGACGCGCTCGACAACCCTTGTCCAGTGGTGTGGACA